ATATAATCATATATTCGTAAAGCAACTTTCATGCCCCATCATTATCTTCGAGATGTTTAATCAAAACACACACAACACACACATACATATAAGAAACGGAAATATGTTCCGCAAGGAATGGTCTAGCGATTAAAGCAAGTGAGTCTCTGTTAATTAAGCTAGGTTCAAATTCTTTTGCCAACGGTTGCTAGATTAATTTGTCACACATTGTTAACCTAGTGAAGTTTACATCTCTCATATGGTTTGCAAGCTATTATACGAGAATGTAAGTTTACCCAGTACACCTATATGGTTGGCTGCGGGTTTCTTCATTACCAAAAAAAAAAAATTAAACTAGTTAAATTGCAAACCATTGTCTTGACCGATTCGGTTTGATCGATTGAACCGTAATATCGGAACCCCGAGTGAATATCAGGTTTTTCTTACCTAAAATTGTGCCTTTTGTTTTACAAAAAATAATTGATAAATTGGCTAAATTAAATGACATCTTTTAACTGTCTAGTTGAAAAAAGAAATCAAAATAAATTTGTAATGTTATTTTTTATTAAGATTTTTATAATATTTGAAATGATCCGGTGTGATATGTTTTGATATGTTGTGTGCTTAAAAGAAAGTTAAGTTTGTTTACATTTTAATTGAAATGGGTAATGAGTTGATGTGTGTGAAAGAAAATATGTTTTATTTACTATAAAAAATTATGTATAAATAATTATAAAAAAAAAATCGGTTGGAATCGGTTGGACCAGGGTTGAACCAATCTAACCGTGACCTGATAGGTTGTTCGGGCCAATATTCGGTCCGATTTTCAAAATATTTAGTATAAATACTACAAGAAATAATCTTTTGAGAGATAACACTAATTTTCACATGATTAGCCAAAAAATATTGTCATTATGGTTGTAATTAATGGGATATCACTACTCTTATACAATGACAATAAAAAGCGATGGTCACATCTACTAGTGAAAATAAAAAAAAAAAAATGACTAACCAACAACAATAGGTATTATTGGTGACAATATAAAAATGTTGTCACTCAATATATGGATTTAGTGACAATTTTTAATAATGTCACAATGTATCACTAATTTCATTTTTTCCTTGTATAGCGGGACATTAACCGTAGCAAAACTAAAATATCGTGAATAAAAAAAAAAAACATTATTACCCAAACAATATCAAAAAAAACTTCTATTAATTGGACAAGGAAATTGCATACATTAATGGTTATAATATAGTTTTCATATTGTAGAAAGATCATGACAAAGCACTTGGGGTTAAGAGTTTGCACCTTTAATAATGTAATAATGTTTAGCACTACTATCGCCATTTTCAAGTTTGATATATGCCCATTGGCCACTTGCACTTGTCTCAAACTCATGTACCAACTACATATTCAAATTTTCTGAATTAAAAGACTTTCAAAAAATCAAAACATTATAAATTTCCCTACAACAAATCTAATGAAATTTCCACAAACATTATTCATAACAACAATAAGATAGAAGGCCAACAAATAACCATATTGTATCTCAATTGATGGGGTCGAACACTTAGAAAATACTTTTATGCATTTAATAAAGATGCAAACACATCGTGTATATATCAAATCAGAATGCAAATGTTTCTAGCAACTCGAAAACTATGGCTACATATACCATGGTAGGAAGGTCATAAACTACATGACTATTGTAGCGAGTTAGGTCAGAAATTGTGTTAGTGGATGGTGTTCGAATGTAATAAATGCGAACTGCAGATAAGATTGTTCATTGGTCGGTTTTACTAATGTATCATGTTCGAAACGTAATTTTACTAAAGATGATTGATTATATATTAAGGTCTTGTTTGGATCTCAAGCTAAGATAAGCTCCCACTTTTTTTTCATAATTGTGCATGGATCGACCCATATTATGTTCACTAATTTGTCATGAATTATCTCACCGACCACCAAACGAAACCTAATATTAATAGCTTTTATAATGTTAAATTAGCAAAATAAAGTCTATATATATATATATATATATATATATATATATATAT